CACCCACCATCCCTGGCACCCACCATCCATGGTATCCCCCATCCCCAGCACCCACCGGGATGTGGCTCTTGTAGACGTAGTGGTCACCGCGGCGTTTGGTGATGAGGAGGGTCTTGTCGAAGAGGAAGACGGCGCGCTCATGGCGCGCTCGCTGCGCCCGGAACGTCCCCTCCAGCACCAGTTCCCCGTAACTGGTCAGATCCGGCCCCTTCCAGCCCAGCAGCAGTGACTGGATCTCCTGTGTGGGTCCCCAGGGATGGGCACATCAGGTCACCCGCCGTCACAGTGGTGCCCATCCGGTGTCACCCATCAGAACCCACCTGCTGCCGGATGGCGTGCTCGTGTTTGCGCTTCATGTCGTTGATGTACCAGGCGACGCAGGTCATGGTGTCGATGGCCTCCAGCACCACCTCGTAGTCGTCCCCCGACTTGTGCTCAAAGTGTTTGGCGATTTCCTGCCGGCAAAGGACGTGGTGTCAGGGCAGTGCCAAGGGGGATGCGGTGCCCAGGGTGTGCCGGGTGTCTGTGCTGTGCTGGGGGTGTGTGATGTGCCAGGGAGATGTGCCATGGCATGGAACTAGGCTGTGCCAGGGGACCAGGGTGTGTGGAGATGTGCCGTGCTGGGTGCTTGCACCACAACAGGTGCCTGTGCCGTGCCAGGGAACCAGGCTGTGCCAGGGAGATGTGCCATGCTGGGTGCCTGGACTGTGCCATGGAAATGTGCCACACCAGCTGCCTGTGTCGTGCCATATGCCAGCCTGTGCCAAGTGCCTGTGCCATGCCATGAGCTCACACCATGCCAGGCACCTAGGCTGTGCCATGCTGGGTACCCAGACTGTGCCAGGAAATGTGCCATGCTATATGCCCAGGCTGTGCCATGTCCCTGTGCCACACCAGCTGCCCATATCCTGCCAGATGCCTGTGCCATGTCCCCGTGCCACACTGGCTGCCCATACCCTGCCAGATGCCTGTGCCATGTCCCCGTGCCACACTGGCTGCCCATACCCTGCCAGATGCCTGTGCCATGTCCCCGTGCCACACGGGCTGCCCATACCCTGCCAGATGCCTGTGCCATGTCCCCGTGCCACACGGGCTGCCCATACCCTGCCAGATGCCTGTGCCATGTCCCCGTGCCACACGGGCTGCCCATACCCACGCCCATGCCCCGCCACGTGCCAGCTCGCCTGGAGCAGCAGATGGTACTTGAGGATCCTCTGGACAGGCTTGAGCAGGTAGGCACCGAGGGGCAGCGCGTGCCGCAGCCGCTCCTGGCACTCGCGGAGGAACCGGGCCTGGGGTTTGCTCCTCATGCACTCGGCCAACGCCGCCACCGAGCTGCGGGCAGGGAACGGGCTCAGCCCCCTGCCCACCCCCTG